GCGTCACGCTTCCCATAGCAAAACGAAACCCAAGAAACCCTTTGCACCCTGGAGGCAAGCAGGGTATTCCTGTGGGGGGGGGTCCACGGTAGATTGGTTCCAGGCCCTCCCGGAGAATAGACAAGCACAGCATGAGCATGTCGGCTCTTGAAGTAGGAAGGCGCTTGAGGTTGACTGGGATCTGGGAATTCTAAAACCCTACTTTCAGGGACCGACGGGTAAGGGTTGGGAGGAGCGAAAGGGCCAACAGGCGGAGAAAGAGAGCTGGGGAGAGAGAAGCGGGAAGGACCGGAGGAGGGCCCGAAGCAAGATCGGGAGAAGGAGCCGGCTCAGGAGGGAGAAGGAGGAAGAGCAGCAGGGCAGCCAGCGAGGACTGGCACAATGACAACCGCAGAGGAAACTGTTACATTGCAAGTCAAACGAGGAGGACAGCATGAAACGAAACGAGGGCACCAGGATACTGTTTATGATGATGCTGGCTGTGATGATGAGAATCGCGTAAGAGAGTAAGAGAAGGAGAAGACAGAAGGGAGGAGGACCGGAGCGGAGCGGACGTCCCCTGTAGAAGCGGGGCGGTCGGGCCGTAGCTGCGACGGAGGAAAGGAGGAGAGCGAAGGAGAGGAGAGGATGGCGAAGGAGAGGGGAGAGGAGGAGCGATGGAGCGCGAGAGGGCGGGGAGGAGAGGAGGGCGATGAATAGGGGAGAAGGGAAGGGGAATGGAGGAAAGGACAAGAGAGGATGTGCATGGATGGATGTGGTCGACAAAGACCACCCCCAGCCCAGAGTGGCGCAAGCCGTACACCCTCACTGGGCGGCAGGGTCGAGGCGAAGAGAGCGCGCCCGTGGGCCGGCAGCCATCCACAGCGACCCCGCTGAGCCTGTGCCCGCCAGAGCACACGTGCAGGCCAGCGATGTGCTGCGAGGCGCAGCGCGGCATGACACTTCGGGAACGTCATCCAGCACGACTCCTCCAACCAGGGCAGCACAACGCAGTGTGGAAGAGCTCGAGCGTCGGAGAGACCAACAGCTGTAGGGTGGCGAGATCTGTACGTATACACCTGCCGTGGCCAGGCAAACAGTGGCCCAGGACGGACCTAGCCAGGAGCGGCGTGGATGAATATATAGATAGGTCTTGTCGCCCGCGGATGGAGGGTACAGAGGGGCAGAAGAAACCCTCATGAATCGGAATGACTGTAGCTGACGGGATGGGCCAGCCCGCACGACGCCCTTCGTAGACAGGGTGGGCCCTCCTCCCTCCTCGCTGCCCCCCAGCAGTATCCTCTTCCACCGATGGCACTCGCTGGAGGATCACCAAAGTCTTTCTCCCCATCCTGCTCCTCCTCCTCCTCCTCCTCCTCCTCCTCGTGCCCCTGGTGCGTTGAGGCGTGGAATGGCGAATGCTGCCTGGTAGTGCTTCGACCTCCTCCTCCGCCCTTCTTCCTCCTTCTCCTCCTCACCCTGCTCCCTCCTCCCTCCTCTCTCCTCATCCCTCCGCTCTTTCCTCTTCCTGCTCCTGCTTACTCCTCCTCCTCCTCCTCCTCCTCCTCCTCAACATTCCTCCTCGCTCTTCCTCGCTCCTCCTCGCTCCTGCCTCCCCCTCACGGCAGGCGGGGCCCTCCACGGGGTAGCTGGTCGGCGGGAGCACCGTCTCCGCGAAGGTGCGGCGGCCCAGGTGGAGCACGTGATGCTGCGTGACGACGGGCTTGGGCTCCGCGAGATCCTCGGAAGAGCGACGACGACGACGACGCCGACCACGACGACGACCACGACGACCACGACGACGCCGACGCCGCCGCCGCCGCAGCCGCAGCCGCCGACGACGACGACGACGAAGAAGATAGAACCACGAAGCAGGCTGCGCCCTTCTTGCACTTTCCGCCCCGCAGGCTACGGCCGCCCGCTGCCATCGGGGAAGCCAGATGAGGAGCTAAGGGCGCTTTTTCTGGCCACGAGAAACTCGATCAGATACTTCGGTCCGGTTGTACACGCAAGAGGGGTCCTAGGCAAGAGTGACCTTTGGTGCGCGGCTTCCAGGAAGCCGCGGGAGGGGGGGGGGTGCGAAATGAAAGGGCGGAAGACGCAGCTATCGCATCGCACTCGGCGATCGGTGGATCCCAGTGGACCCGCACCAAAGGTCACTCCGGCGAAAGGTCTCTCTTACGTGTAGTCGGCATGTCGGGAGGGGCCGGGCCCCCTCCGTACAATCGCTACCCTCTGGCGCTACCCCTAGAGCGCTTCGCGCGCCAGCGAGGGGGGTCCAGCGCCGATCCGAGAAATCAGCGCGGGCCTCCCAAGGTGTGCGCATGCTGATACGATGTGCTTCTCTCTTGACTGGGTTAAATCCCAGGGAAGGCTCCAAAACCAGAGCCCCCAATTCGGTCCCAGCCAGAGGCCGCCAATACGGCCCGAAGTGGGAGACGCCCCAAGAGACCTCTAAGACTGCCCTAAAGCATCCCGCCAAGACGGCCCAGAGAGGCCCCAAGACGGCACCCGACAAAGTCTGACGAACCAACTGCGCCCCAGACCGACCTGGCAAGCACAAGGGGTCCCGAAAGGACCGAAACGGCCCACAGAGGGCCCCAACAGGGCCCCGAGATGCCCTCAAGAGGCCTCCTGAACCTCATTTTCCACCTCATCCTCTATCCATTGTCCTTCAAGAGACTCCTCCCTGTCGCACCCCGAGAAGCGTCCGTGGGGCAGGCAGGCCGTTGCGCGTGGAACTTCCTCACCAATTAGGAACATCAACCTTCAAATGTACAACAGCTTCACGGATGGAGGGCGGGTGGTTTTCGAAATGTGGTTCCCGCCGTAGCGCCGCATGCACTCGAAGCAGCAGTTAGCAAAACATGCGCGGATGGAGAGCGGGTCGTGTTTGAAGTGTGGTTATCGCCACAACGCCGCGCCAATTCTTGGTAAACGTGTGCAAAAGTCCACGGATGGAGGGGAAGCGTGCTCCACAGTGCGATTCCCGCCTTACGCGCCGCGCACATTCGCGTCAAACGTTACAACAACAGAAAATCGCACATTGACGGCGGCTCTTGTTCAAAATGGTTTTCGCTTCAGCGCCGCGCACGATCGACGAGCCTGACGGTTGGCGTCCCAATCACGGTGTTTTGGCACAGTGTCGGACTGTCAGGGCACAACGGTCACGTTGATTCGCGGCGTTGATGTCCCAGGAACGGGGTCCTGGCACGATTCAAGACCGCCAAGAAGCAACAATAACGTTGATGCGTGGCAACCCCACGATGGCGTGCTGCACGGTTCAGGAGCTTGAAACAGTTGCTTTCGAACGGGGCGCCCCGCCCAGTGAAACTGAAACCTTGCAGGGCGTATGGAGAGGGAGCGTGGGAGGAATGCTTATGGCATCATCGTTGATGAACCTTGGGTTTACACTGGTCCTCATTTTCAGCCCTATGCGTTCTGCGCTGGGTCCTCCTCCACCTCGTCCTCCTCCGCGTCCGCCTCTTCCTTCTCTTCCTCATCCTCCTCCTGCTCTTTCTCCTTGTTCATCCTCGTTGTCCTCCTCGTCTCACTCGCCCTCTTCATCTCCCCAGTGTTATTCCAAGGTTTCAAGAACGACTGGGGAGCACATTCAAATTGTTTGAGCCAGACTCGGGCACATCGTTTGGCCACGTGGGCACTTCAAAAACAGAGGGGGCGGCGATGCATCGCCGCAGGTATCTTCGATGACAGGAAACACAAGCCATCGTCAGACGTTTGTGACCCGCTGATTTCTTGCGCCGCTGAATCAAACTGCGCAATACTCAAAAACGCAGGCGGCCTGCGGCTCCAAAACGGGAAGTCGTCTTGCACATCGTTCAACGCGCGCACTGGATAAAAACTGGGAACCAAATAGCCAGCAATTCGATACTCTTCTTCGGGAATCAATGCGCGCATCACCCAGAACATGATAGAGCCTGATCTCCAACCCACAGGGGAAAAACTTATCGATCCTCCCGGGAGACTGGGACGGGCAAGCTGCTTCACGGTTAAAGTGGTGTACAACCGAATCACTCACTGCGCCGTATATCTACCGCGCACGCAGGCACACACTGAGCCAAGCTCAATCCAGACGAATGCAGCCGCGGCTCACTTGCGGGAGGCGTAGATTGCCTTCGCCTTGGCGTACAGGGCCTTCCCCTCCTGCTTCGGCCCGCCGATGAGAACCATACCCTTCATATTCAGGGCGTTTTCCTGACAGCGACGACACTCTAGGTCCAATGCTTGACATTGGTGTTGAACCTCGCCATCCCTTGTGCGGAAGCCTTCTTCGAGACGATCTTCCTGAGCTTATTCATCATGAACTTGTCCTTCGCGAGGCCCGAAGCCGTCTTCTCATTGGTCCAGCGCAACACCTGTGCCCTCGAACGCTTGCCCCTTCGCCTTCATGGACTTCACTGCGCCCTTCGCAGGGCCCTGGATGACCGGGGCCTTCTTAATAGGAAATGCCGCTGGTGGAAGGCACGCCCTGAGCCCACAGGAGTGGTGAGCACGCACAGGATCTCGATTACTCTCCTGAGCCGAGCCTGGCCCACGAGCCAAAGGCCAGGCGAAGGAAGGTACGAAGCTGGTCTGGAGGCCTGGGCTAAGAAACGCGTGAAACAAAGAGAGCCCCAATAGAATCAAGTTGGGAAATGATAAGGTTTAAATGACTTCAGACAAACCAGCAGTCACTGCGCAACCCGGACGGCATGGTGGTCGCAAGAATGGACTGCCCCAACAGAAAGCCTATGAAGACAGTTGCAAAGACAAACTCACAGCTTACCGCTTACCACCTGATTGTATTAGCTGTGTTCTGTTGCCCAAGGTCTTGGGGTTCAGGCATACGAGCTTCACGCTGACTGAATTGTAAGCACAACCTGTGGTTTGGATATCTCTTAAAACCTTCACACGTGTTAGATCTATTGTCGGGTTGTACTGGCTGCTCATGCGTGTTTCACATGTGTTGGAGCCGTTGACTCCGACTGCTCCTACACCTTCAATCTCCTCATCCTTGTCCCATGCTCCTCATCATCGCTCAACGAACAAGGCAGGCTCTGCGCACGCCCCGCTAAATTAGCATGGCGAAGGACCCAACCATACGAGTACCGCGGTTGTGAGTATCGTCTTCGGTTGAGCTCCCTATGGGGCCACGAAGCGTGTGAGGGGTGTGCATAAATCGGGGTGGAACCGCATGCGACCCCGGCCACTGAGGGCATCGGTGGAGCTCCCTACGGGAACCCTGCCATTGAGGAATGAGGTGGAATTCCCTATGGGCCCACGAAACGTGCGAGGGGTGTGCCAAACTTGGGAGTGGAACCGCGCGTGAACCCTGCCACTGGGGAATGAGGTGGAACTCCCTCTGGGGCCACGAGACGTTCGAGGGGCGTGCCGAAGTTGGAGGCTGAACCGCATGCGAACCCTGCCACTGGGGCCTTCGGTGGAGCTCCCTACAGGCCAACGAAGCGTGTGAAAGGTGTAACGACATGAAGAAAGAATCGCATGCGAACCCTGTCACGGGGGCCTCTGGTGAAGCTCCCTACGGGGCCACGAAACGTGTGAGGGGTACGGCGAACTGTTGGTGAAATCGCATGCGAACCCTGTCACTGGGGCCTTCGGAGGAGCTCCCTATGAGGCCACGAAACGTGTGAGGGGTGTGCCGAAGTTATGGGGTGGAACCGCAGGCGAACCCTGTCACTGAAGCATGAGGTGGAACTCCCTATGGGGCCACGGACCGTGTGAGGGGTACGTCGAAATTTTGGGTGGAACCGCATGCGAACCCTGTCACGAGAGCCTCCGGAGGAGCTCCCCATGGGTCCACGAACCGTGTGAGGGGTGTGCCGAAATGGGATTGGAACCTCATGCAAACCCTGCCACTGGGGTCTTCGGCGGAGCTCCCGATGGGAACACGAAACGTGTGAGGTGCGTGTGTGTGTGTGTGTGTGCCAAAATTGGGGGTGGAACCGCATGCGAGCCCGGCCACTGGGGCCTTTGGCGGAGCTCACTACGGGGTCACGAACCGTGTGAGAGGTGTACAAAATTGGGGGTGGAACTGCATGCGAACCCTGCCACTGGGGCCTTCGGTGGAACTCCCGATGGGGCCACGAACTGTGTGAGAGGTGTCCCAAATGGAACTGGAACCGCATGCGAGCCTGGCCACTGAGGCCTTTTGCGGAGCTCCTTACGGGTCCACGCACCGTGTGAGCGGTGTGCCGAAATGGAGGTGGAACCCCATGCCAACCCTGTCACTGGGGCATTCGGCGGAGCTCTCTATGGGGCCACGAAGCGTGTAAGGGGTGCACAGGATGGGAGGAGAGAGGAGAGGGAGGAGGAGTGAGTGGGTGACGCGGAGCGCTCTCTTGAAAGCGAAGACCCAACAAGAGGTCGGCTGAGAAAATGCGGCTCAAAGAAACACACACACACATGTGTTAGACTGGTCGTTTGTTGTCTGGGCGGTTTCCGAATTGCTTCTAGGGCTGACCCACCCCCCTGCTTGCGCGCGTGGTGCGAAAATCCCGTCCCCTGATCTTGCCTTCAACACGGCTAGCCAAACAGCCACGATGACATCAGACGTCAACAGATGGCACAAGACGCCATAAGAGGCCTCCATTCGACCTCAAGACGACCTAAAAGGCTCACACGACGGCCCAAGAGGCTTCCAAGAGGCCCTGCACAGAAAGAACGAGGAGGCACACATGTCTGATGTTCCTCAGGTTGTTGAAAGATGTTGTTCTCGCCTGTTTCGGCTTCCGACCGCCAAAGACGACCCAAGAAGCGAACCGAAAACGGCGCGAACGAGAATCCCAAACCAAAAGAATTAACCTGGCCGAAGACCCAACAATGCGCAGTTGTGGGCACTGTCGTTATATGCGCCGCATTCGGTGGAGTCCCTATGGGCCCACGAAACGTGAGGTGTGCACCGAAATTGGTGCGATGGGCGCATGCAAACGCTGACATATGGGCTTTCGGTGGGGCTCCCAATGGGGCTAAGAAGCGTGTAAAGGGTGTGCCACATTTGGTGCGGCGACCGCGTGCGGGCGCTGGCATTTAGGCCTTCGGCAGCGCTCCCGATGGGGCCACGCAACGTAAGAGAAGTGTGCCAAAATGGGTGCGGCGGCCGCATGCGAGCGTTGGCATCTAGGCCTTCGGTCCCTATTGTGGCAATAACTCTCCTCCGAAATGCGTTTTGGGTTTGCGCCAAATATGAAAGGGAATGCTTGTCCACACGCTAAACCTACATCGTCAAATCTGGTATGCTTCCACATACCCAAACATTCCTTCTCTGTTCAGCTGTCCCCATGCTGGACGACAGCGAACGCAACTCAGAATTCCCTGAAACACACCCAGCTGGAATATGACGAACGCGTCAACCTGGGGGGCTGTCAACAAGTCTAGACAACAGCTGGAACGCACGACAAGGCAGATAGCTAACATAAGCACGATGCCAATTGATACATGAGGTGAGAGGAGCCACGATAACATGACAAAAAAACATGCAAATCATTGATGACGCAGTTCTTTGACAGGGGAGGAGGAGGAGAGGGAAGCAGGAAAACCAACGACGACCACCACACCACCACGTCCACCTCTTGGGCCTGCGGCCTGGAGATTCGTCCAGGACACCAGTTTCTCTTTCTTTCCGAGAACTCTCCTGGCAGCGGCCTGCAATCGGCACTTCGGGCTGGGATTATCCCGCCTCCATTTTACTATTTTTTCCCTCGTCTACCACGATTATATTCTCGCCGGTCGTCAGAACAACACAGCAGAATCACAGTTTGTCACATCGTCCTTAATGAGAGCATCCACCAGCATGCGGCCATGGGAGAACCACCAATCGTTCCCTTGAACACGCTCTAAAGCCTCGCACATCGCAATTATCCGGTCTTTAGCTCCAGAAGCCTCGATGTACGCGAGATCCTGGACTGCAGTTCCTTCTTAGCACAGTGGCGAGCGGACCGGAGCTTCTGTAGTGATCTCGCACCTGCACGTCCCTAAACTCACGTCCCTGTACATGATTCTGGAGGTACTCGACTTCGGTCGCGGCCGCCGAGAGGGACTGGGTGTTTCCGGCGAGAGTGGACGGCACTGTCCTTTTCATCTTGGAGCTCCTCCATCCAAGGATGGAGGCGCGCGCAGACTGATTATCAACTACGCTCTTGTCACGCGCGAACACCATCCAGGCTCCCTGGGCGCGGTCCTGGGGAACTCCGTTTTCGTCGATCAACTGCTCATGAAAGCCGATGCCACCAGCATCAGACAATGACACAATAACTATGTGTTCGGGGTCCAGACGCCAAACGATCAGCCCTCTGGAGGCAGACGCTCGCAAAAACCCGATCGGCTTGTTGGCGAGGGCGGTGGTTGGGGGCGTGAATCCGGCAACACGGATGCTGGACGCCCTGGCAGCCTCGGGCTCGGTCTCCCGCCCCACCCAACTAAATTTGAACACGAAGGACATCTTTCCTGGACAGCCTTTCCCTGGCAACCGCAAGAGGGCGGATCTTTTCGAGGATATACTTCGAAATGTCCACGGTAGCGTTCTTCGGCCCCGCGGTGATTCTTCTGCCGGCAAAAAAATCCACTGGCCCTGCCTGGCAGTCGAGGCATTGTCCGAAAGGAAATGGAGATTCGAGAGTTCTTTCTCAGCCACCGGCGGGTCTCCAACGATGAGCTTCCCAAGAAGAAGTCGCCCGCCTCCAAGAGAATCGTTTGTAGCACTCCCCCTTTCGATCCACGGCGGATCCACCAGCAAGGTCACGGGAGCGCAAACCCATGCCGTTCAAGAAACGCCGCAAGAGTCTTTCTCCAGGCGACAAGGGCATCATCCAAAGCTTACATCAGGCGGACGAGGGCACCCTCGGCCATGGCCGCCCCCTCCCACGGGACACATCATCCCCTAGGTCGCTGCGCATGAGATCGCTCTGAACGGGGAAATGCTTCACGTCAGATATGTCTGCTAGAAACATGATATCCAGAATCGCCTGAAAAAAAAGCATGACACTCACGGTCTGAAGGGCAGGAACGCACACCATCAGGCATCCAGGATCCAAGTCTCTGTGGCCGCGCGCGCACCAGAGAGTCGATTGGCTTCCGGTTCTTTAAACGCCCCCTCCACTGGCTTCCACCGTCGGACAATGCGGCTGGAGACAATCCGTTCCGAATGCAACTGCCGAACAATTGCGGCCTTCTCTGGCGTCGCAAGTCCCGCGGCTCCGGTAGCAAGCGCGGCTTGCCACTCCTCGTTGTCAGCCGCCTCGAACTTGGCCTTCTCGGACAAACCCAGGTTCTTGAAAGACCCCCCTCGCCAGCTGGCCGCGAAAGCACCTCCGTCTGACGCGACAGCCCCCGCCCAGCTCCGCTGCCTCGACCCCTCGGCTTCTTCCATAGGCCTGGCCAAGATGCCCTCGCCGACGCCGGCGGGGAGGATGAGGAAAGCAGAGGTCCCGCTTGTTCCTCCTGACATGCTTTGGGCGCCCTCGTCTCGCGGAGGAGACCCGCCCCTCGCGCTGGGCGGACTCTCGACGGCCCGCGCCAGCTTGTTCGCCGAGCGTCGCGGCGCGCTGCCGGCGACCACTCTCCCGCGACTGGGCTCGGGAAAGGAAGAGAAGGAGAGCGAGGAAGAAAAGGGGGGAAACCCACGGGGGAGATTCCAACCTTGCCCTCCTGTGGACTGGAGCTGGCTCTCGTCTCGGTCCGCGACTCGACTCGGGAAATCTTGGAGCGCGATGGAACACTGCCCAGTTGTTCCAACTTGGCCCGGACTGGTTGAGCGGAGGGCACGCCCTGTGCCATGGCGGGCTCAGCTCGCGGTTCCGAAGGGACCGAGGGCGCACTTAAGGCCGGGGCCCAGGGGGGTCGAACGCTGGCGCATCGCCCGAAGACGCCGCGCGAAAGAGAGAGAGAGAGAGAGAGAGAGAGAGAGAGAGCGGGGGCGGAGGATGATATTCTGACCCGCGAAGTGGGGGGTGCACCTCCTCGACGTCCGCCCCATGTCTACCTGCGCCGAGGGATTCAAAAGGCCATGAAAAAACTCGGGCCCCGCCAGACCCCGCCTGGGCCTAGCGGGGCCGCCGTCGGACCCAGGGCCCGCGCGAGACAACGGGGAGGAACCGGCCACCCCGAACCTCCAGGGCAGCTAAACCCGCCACGGACCCCTAACCACGACAGCACGCCCTTTTTCCTCACTGGGTTCAACAGCTTGGATTCCTGAAACCCTCGGAGCAAGATCTAACTCCGGTCTGACGGCGTCGTCCCAAGCCATGTCCGGGGGTGGGCCCTCTCGCTGCGCGCCCACCGCAGTGGCTCGACAGCCCCCGCATGTCTCGCCAACTCCTGCCATTGGGGACTGCCGGCCAACTGGATTCGGCGCTCTTCGTCAGCGCTCGCCAGCCTCAGGTGACCAACGGAACATTTCCACAGTCGGGCACGCACCGCCGCCCGAACAGCTCCCCGGTCCGCCAAGACCTCGACCGCGGGGCCGGCCCACCCGTCTCGGCTTGTCCAGCGAGCGTCCGCTTTCGAAGACACTCTAGACAGATGCCTTCAAACATGCACCCACTGGCCCGCCGTAAAAGTCCTGGGGGCGGGAGCCCCATATCTCGAGGCGCGGCGTATCTTCTCGCGCGAGGTGGCCGCCATGGCCGGCCTCCTCGCCGCAGCTCACATCTCCTCCTGCGCCCAGGTGACCTCCGCGCCCACCCTGGCCTGTTCGGCTGGGGGCTTCGCGAGGCCCTGCCATCTGGGAAGCCCGCGGGAGTCGCCCAAGAGGAGATCGCGAGGGGGGCGGAGATTTTATCCGAACACTAACTGCAGCGGCGAGACCCCCCATATCAATCTCAATGTTTGTGTGCCGCGAGATCGCAAACCCAGAGTGTCGAGCTCCTCTAGGTTAGCTGGCATGAGACTTCCTGATGCAATCTCGAGCTTCACCCTATCTTGAATCCACCCTCCATGTCTTTCAACTCGATTGTTCCGCCATGTGGAATCGGCGTCGCACACATGGTGCATGACCCCATTGTTTCAGTTCTCTAGCCAAGCAAACTCCAAACCCGCTTCCCCCATCGGACAGACCAACGCGCGGGCCCCATATAGGCCTGATCCAGCCGATCACGACGCTGGCCCACACCTGGGCAGCGCGAGCCTTGGCGATCCCCACGAAGACATGCATATTGCTTCCGTGGTCAACCACGTTCAGAAAATGATACGCGACGCTCTGATAGTCTAGATTATCCCAGTGCGACCCTACCTAGGAGTTGGAGCCCCTAGGAAAGCAGCATTAGTAGAAACAGATAAGCTAAGCTAAAGCTAAGATAAAGCTAAGCTAAAGCTAAGCTAAAGCTAGGTTAGAGCTAAGGCTAAGCTAAAGCTAAGCTAAGGCTAAGCTAAACCTAAGATGAAGCTAACCTAAAGCTAAGCTAAAGCTAGGCTAAAACTAAGCTGACGCTAAGCTAGAGCTAAGCTAAAGCTAAGCTGAAGCTAAACTGAAGCTAAGCGAAAACTAAGCTGAAGCTAAGCTGAAGCTAAGCTACAGCTAAGCTGAAGCTAAGCTAGAGCTAAGCTAAAGCGAAGCTGAAGCTAAGCTGGCGCTAAGCTAGAGCTAAAGCTAAAACTAAGCTGAAGCTAAGCTGAAGCGAAGCTAAAGCTAAGCTAAAGCTAAGCTAACGCTAAGCTAAAGCTAAGCTAAAGCTAAGCTAGAGCAAAGCTAAAGTTAAGCTAGCGCTAAGCTGATGCTAAGCTAACGCTAAGCTAGAGCTAAGCTAAAGCTAAGCTGAAGCTAAGCTGAAGCTAAGCTAGAGCTAAGCTGAGGCTAAGCTAGAGCTAATAAGCTAGAGCTAGGCTAAAGCTAAGCTGAAGCTAAGCTGAAGCTAAGCTAGAGCTAAAGCTAAAAACTAAGTTGAAGCTAAGCTGCAACTAAGCTAAAGCTGAGCTAAAGCTAAGCTAACGCTAAGCTGAAGCTAAGCTAAGCTGGGTGACCCCAGGGGGCGCAACTGGGGGAACCGCGGGGCGGGGACTGGGGGAACCGCCCGGGGCGATTTCCATTGCCCAGCCCCTTTAAGCTAAGAGAGTAAGAACCCTTCTAGGCAGAGCCTAGGTAAGGAATAAAACAGATCTGCCCCGACGACGTGGTCGAAGCGGAAGGTGCCAGGCATGGCAGCAGCTCAGCGGCGGTTGTCTGCGCGACTCTTTTCCTCGCACTCGGAACATCTAAATCTTTGCCGCGCCCGCCTGATCCGATGTCTCTTCGCGCCACCGGCACGCAGCACTCGACATAACTTCCGGTTGTCCAGGCGCCCCATGTGCCCAACGCCTGCTTGGGGCCTACCCCGTCGCACCGTCGGGGGACTGCGCGCGGAAATATGGAAACGTCTGAGGACTCGCCGAGACACCTCGAACCATCTCCCAGTCGGCATGGGTGGATGCCGCGGGAGTGGCCGTAGCTCGATCGCCTCTGCTCCCTGAGGATACCGACGCGGTCATCGTCGACGCACTCGCATCCGTCGGCCCACCCGCGCCCGCCATGT